GGTAAATAAATTTTTTAATAGAAAAAATAAAAATTAATATTTTTAAATAAAAATATTAAAAATTAATATTTTTAAATAAAAAAATTATAAAATTGCCATCTTTTTTTTACTCTCAAAAGTGATCAGCTGGTCCAATGAGAGGCCACGTGGGAGAACTTATTTTCTTTGGTATAAACGTGGGACTACTTATCCTATGCGCAGAAGGTTCTTGCTTTCCAATCGGTTTATATATATTTTACTTTTCTAACAAGCTGTTTCCAATGAACTGACCGTGAAGAACACGTTCGTGAGTCTTATGAATCGCCGTTTTGAATATGTTAGTGCTGTTTAGGTAATAGACTGCTGACTAGAAACATAGGAACTTTGAATGAGCTAACTCTTTGAAGAACCAGAAATACTGCATCCCATGTTTGGAATAAATGGAAGTATAAACCTGCCCTTATACGTAAGAAAATAGAGGGTGACGTTCTCTCTCTCAAAAGTTATTTTTGAATGGCCTAAAACTAAAGCTCGACCCAAAAAAAATTTTGTATGGTACAATTAATTACGAGAAACCCTTTTTTTTTTATGATATGTCCAAGAATACTTACTTAGTTCATTTTTAAAGACAAATTCATAACAAAAAAAAAAAATCTCAATGATTACTACAGAGCTATACAAATTCCATAAATCTCTTGGTTAAATATCATGTTAGATTGTTATGTATGTTTGAACTAAGTGGTTAATTTATTACTTACTTCTTTTTTTTTTTTTTTTGCATAAACTGTAAAAATTGTATTTATTCATGAAACTATCTCTACAAAAAGTTTAGTAATAACTTGTTGCTCTTACAATGAAAAATACTCAACTATATACAATAGTCTCAAAAATCTCATTTTAAAGCAAGTGATGCACTTAAAATAGAGGAAAAAGGCCTAACACTTTTCAAAATTTTGTTACTTACCTTTTAAATAAGAACACCCTTAAGTTTGATAATTGAATTCTTGGGATGGCTTTTTTCCCTTTTCCTATAGGATGTTAAGATTATTTATAAATTTGTTAAAAAAAAAAAAAAAAGTCGTTGCTGGATCTGCGGTGGGTCAGGTCCATATATCCTGGGTCATCTTCTCGTCGGAGAAAACTTGATAGGCCAGGGCTATCTCCCTTTACAGGCCTTCCTAAAAGTTGGGCTCGGCCTTTCAGCAGTTCCCAAGAGACATTAATTACCACGGTCCATTGTCCAGACAAGGTTCTGCGAGAAACAGAGCCGGCGAGAAGCGAAATGGAGGCGGCTTTAGCGGAGTTAGAGCGACGCCAGACTGGAATCCTCGAACGAATATCTAAACTGGAGCGCTCTCTCCCGCCGGACGCTCCTACGACCACCGCAGTCGTATCCGCCATCTCAAACTCTGCCGCCTTCTGCGACATCGAAGCTCGCCTCTCCAACATTCTCCGATCCAATGGCGTAAACAACTTTTCCTTCAGGAAAGTTCCATCGGACTACTACGATTGGTCTCTCGAGT